GGTGTGCCGGCACGAGTGGCCGGGACGCGTGCGAACTGCGCCACTGGGACCTTCGGTGGAGCTCCCCATGGGGCCACGAAACGTGAGGGTGTGCCGGCACGAGTGGCCGGGACGCATGCGAACTGCGCCACTGGGACCTTCGGTGGAGCTCCCCATGAGGCCACGAAACGTGTGAGGGTGTGCCGAAACGAGTGGCTGGGACGCATGCCTCTTGCGCCACTGGGACCTTAGGTGGAGCTCCCTATGGGGCCACAAAACGTGTGAAGGGTGTGCCATAATGGTGGACATGCGGAGAGCAGAGGCAGGGATGGGAGGAGGAAGGACGGAGGAGGGGGCAGCGGGAAGTGAGTGGACGCGGGGCGCTGTCTCGTCAAAACGAGGACCCAACACCACAAGATGGTTGGGAAACAACGGTCATGACAGAATGCACCGTGTCCAACTCGTATGGATAAACACATGTGCTGGACTACAGGGCATCCCCTTATCCTGCCCGCCAATGGGGATCTATCATTCACATCGAGACTGACGCAACCAAATGGCGACGATGACAACACAACGCACGCAGCGTACGAGAACCTCTGCAGATCATATAATCCAGGCTATCAGACCAACTTCGAACAACAACCTAAAACAGTCGTCTCAGATCACACTGGGTCTCAGACACAGCCAAGAGAACAGTGGTGTCATCACTCAGAGCCCGAACTGAGATCGAATCGCAAGCAGAGAAGAAAGTGCATGAAAACCATCGCAGCGCCGACTCAGCGCCAATAAAGACGCACACGCAACATCTCACATTCCAATCTCGATTCCAGCCGCACTGCTTCTGGGGGAGCTGGGATTCATGTTCCAGGCAATCAGACCATATTCGAATTACAACCTGATACAGTCGTCTCAGACCACAGTGGGCCTCAGACACAGCCAAGAGAACAGTGACGTCATCACTCAAAAACTGAAATGAATTCGAATCGCAAGAACATACATAAAACAATGTCTCAGCGCCAATAAAGACAAGCACACATCTCTATTTATAGTATCGCATCATGCCCGTATGCCGCTCGTCGAGCTGGGATTCAGAATCCAGGCTATCAGGCCAGATTCGAGCACCCACATGATCAGCTGTCTCAGACCACACGGGGCCTGAGGCACAGCCAAGAGACCGAATTGAGTTCGAATTGCAAGCAGAAAAACATGCGCATGCAAACCATCACAACACAGACTCAGCGCCAGTAAACACCAACAGGACTTTCAGCTTACAATCTCGCAAAATGCTAAACTGCCGCTCGGCGAGCTGGGGTTCACAGTCCAGGCTATCAGACAAGATTCGAACAACACGCTGATACAATCGTCTCAGACCAGTGGGCCTCAGTGATGACATCACTCGGAGCCCGAATTGAATTCGAATCGCGAGTAGGAAATAATGCGCATGCAAACCATCACAGCACCGACTCAGAGCCAGCAACGACACACACACACCATCTCACATTACAATATCGTATCCAGTCGCACTGATTCTGGGGGAGCTGGGATTCATATTCCAGGCTACCAGACCAAATGCGAAAAACATTATGGTACAGTCGTCTCAGACCACAGTGGGCCTCCGACACAGCCACGGGAACAGTGATGCCATCACTCAAAGCCCGAATTGAGTTCGAATTGCAAGCAACTATGGACACGTCTACAAACCATCACCACACAATCTCAACGCAGGAACATGCACTCAGAAATCTCAAACTGCAATCTCGCATTACGCCACTCTGCCGCTTGGCGAACTGGGATACATAGTCCAGGTTATCAGACCACATTCGAACACCAACCTGATACATTCGTCTCCGACCTTGCTTGGCCTCAGACACAGCCAAGAGAACAGTGGTGTCATCACTCAGAGCCCGAATGGAGTTCGAATCGCAAGCGGAGAAGAACGTGGATGGAAACCATCGCAACATAGACTCAGCGCCAAGAAAGACACACAACATCTCACATTACAATCTCGTATCATGCCGCTATCAGACCAGATTCGAACAACAACCTGACACAGTCGTCTCAGACCACAGTGGGCCTCAGACACAGCCAAAAGAACAGTGATGCCATCACTCAGAGCCCGAACTGAGATCGAATCGCAAGCGGAGAAGAAAGCGCATGGAGACCATCACACCACCGACTCATCTCACATCACAATATCGCATCATGCCGCACTGCCGCTCGGCGAACTGGGATCAACAATCCAAACACTCAGACCAGATTCGAGAAACAACCGCTGGGCCTCAGACAACACACAGAGAACAGTGATGTCATCACTCAGAGCCCAAATTGAGTTCGAATTGCAAAGAGAGTCGAAATTGCATGCAAGTCATAACAACACAGACTTTGTTCCAGCAAAGGCAGCAGGCATCTCAAACTAGAATCTCGCATCATGCCGCACTGCTTCTGGGGCAGCTGGGATCAACATTCCAGGCTATCAGACCAGATTCGAACAACAACCTGATACAGTCGTCTCAGACCGCGCTGTGCCGCAGACACAGCCAAGAGAACAGTGATGACATCACTCGGAGCCCGAATTGAGTTCGAATGGCAAGTAGAAAAACATGCGCATGCAAACCATCACAACACAGACTGAGCGCCATGAAGACCAACAGACATCTCAGCTTACAATCTCGCATCATGCCACAATGCCGCTCGGCGGGCTGGGATTTCAGTCCAGGCTATCAGACCAGATTCGAGCAACAATCTGACACATTCCTCTCAGACCACAGTGGGCCTCAGGCAGAACCAGCAGAACAATGAGATCATCACTCAAAGCCCGAATTGAATCCGAATCCCAAACAAATATGGGCACGTCTACAAACCATCACCACACAGACTCAGCGCCGGAAAATGCAATCAGAAATCTCAAACTACAATCTCGCATCATGCGACACTGCCGCTTGGCGAGCTGGGATTCATAGTCCAGACCAAATTCGAACACCAACCTGATACATTCGTCTCAGGCCACACTTGGCCTCAGGCACAGCCAAGAGAACAGTCATGTCACCACTCAGAGCCCAAATTGAATTCGAATCGCAAGCAGAGAAGAAAGTGCATGGAAACCATCACAACACAGACTCAGCGCCAAGAAAGACACACACACACAACATCTCAACTTACAATCTCGCATCATGCCGCAGAGCTTCTGGGGCAGCTGGGATCACCATTCCAGGCTATCAGACCGTATTCGAACAAAAACCTGATACAGTCGTCTCAGACCACACTGGGCCTCAGACACAGCCAAGAGAACAGTGATGTCATCCCTCAGAACCCGAATTGAGTTCGGATCGCAATCAGAGAAGAAGACGCATGCAAACATCACAACACAGAGGCGAAAGGGCATGCGAACCATCACAACACAGACTCGACGCCAATGAAATGAAACAGACATCTCAAATCACAATCTCGCATCATGCCACACTGGTTCTGGGCAAGCTGGGTTCAACAATCCAGGCAATCAGACTAGATTCGAACAACAATCTGATACAGTCGTCTCAGACCACAGTGGGCCTCAGACACAGCCAAGAGAACAGTGATGTCATCCCTCAGAGCCCGAATTGAGCTCGAATCGCAAATGGAAAAGAAAACGCATACAAACCATCACAACATGGAATCAGCGGCAGAACAATCAAACAGAACTCTCAACTTACACTCTCGCATCATGCCGCACTGCCGCTCGGCGAGCCGGGATCAACAATCCAAGCAATCAGACCATATTCGAGAAACAACCGCTGGGCCTCAGACAAACCCAAGAGAATAGTGATGCCACCACTCAGAGCCAAGATTGAGTTTGAATTGCAAGCAGAGGTGACATTGCATGCAGGCCATAACAACACAGACTTTGCACCAGCAAAGACAACAGACATCTCAAACTACAATATCGCATCATGCCGCACTGCTTCTGGGGCAGCTGGGATCACCATTCCAGGCTATCAGACCAGATTCGAACAACAAGCTGATACAGTCGTCTCAGACCACGCTGGGCCGCAGACACAGCCAAGAGAACAGTGATGTCATCACTCAGAGCCCAAATAGAGTTCGAATCGCAAGCAGAGCACATACTCAGCGCCAGTAAGGACAACCAGAAGTCTAACATTACAATCTCGCATCACGCCGCACTGCCGCTCGGCAGCCCGAACTGAGTTCGAATCGCAAGCAGAGAAGATAGTATCAGCAAACAATCGCAACACCGACTCAGCGCCAGTAAAGACAAACTCATCTCAAATCACAATCTCGCATCATGCCACATTGCCGCTTGGCGAGCTGGGATCAACAATCCAGGAAATCTAACCAGATTCGAGCAACAACTTGACCCACTCGTCTCAGACCACAGCGGGCCTCATACACAGCCAAGAGAACAGTAATGTCATCACTCAGAGCCCAAATTGAGTTCAAATCGCAAGCGGAGCACATACTCAGCGCCAGTAAAATCTAACATTACAATCTCGTATCACGCCGCACTGCCGCCCGCGTCGGGGACGCGCTCAAACGGGTCAAAACTATCCCAGGCTAGCCTTGGCCACGTCGCAAGCCGGGGCTGGCCCCGAACAAAACCTGAAAGGTGTCTTTAGAAACCCCCTACTAGGGAGTAGCTAATCATTTGTTCGGCGGCCTTATTGAAGGACTTGGGTCCCACCAATAGGGGGTAACAAATTATTTGTGATCCGCGGCACCCGCCGCGCAACGACGAGGAGGAGGTTGTAGGACCAGTCCTATTCACCGCCGAGGGAAAAGGGAGGGGGGACCAAAACTAAAGACCTTTAGCGGTTACCTTCCAAATCTGGGTCAGCGGAGGGCGTGCCTGCCACGCCCGGGTCGGCCAGAGGTCATTGGCTGACCCCCGCCAGCGCGGACCCCCATCGCGTGCGCCCCGACCACGCCGTCAGGGCCAACCCCCGCTATCTGCGCCCCGGCACCGCCGTGCGCTCCCCCCCTCCCTGTCTTCCGCGGGCGGGGCGGGCCGGGGGGGGGGTTGTGTCCTGAAGGCGAACCAGCGGCGCGAAGCTGGAGTAGTGGCGCTCTCCGCAGGAGCCGTCCTCATAGGCCTGGCGAGAGATGGGCTTTCTGCTCGCCTCCTGCTCCTCCGCCTTCCCCTCTCTCGAGCATTCTTCATCACGGCTCCTCCGTGGGGAAGGTGTAATACGCATTCCCCAGAGGCCCTCAGGTGTGCGGGTGTATGCGAAGGGGGATGGAGGAAAACTGGGGGAGGTGAGGGACGAGGAGAAGCGCACTGGGCAGCGAAAGTTGCGACCTAAAGTTATGGGAATGGAGATATAGTGCACGCAAGGGCTAAGAGCGACCATCCGCAGGAAGATCATCCCTCTGGGGACGATGAGGGAGGAGGATGGGAAGGACGGGGAGGGAGAAGGAAGGAGGGAGAAGCGATGAGGAGGAGCGAGGAGGATTAGGAGAGAGGTGGATGGGAAAGGAGGTGGAAGAAGACAATGATGACGACGACGACGACGACGACGACGACGACGACGGCAACGGCGATGGCGACGGCGGCGGCGACGACGACGGCGACGAGCTGGCCGCCACCACCACGTGCGGAAGCACCGAGTACACAAAGTGCAGCTGGCCGTGGGCCTCGAAGGGGATCCAGTTCTTCTCCGCCCTGGGCGCCGCGCGCGCGCGAGGAGACAGGGGCTCAAGGACATGCGAGGAAATACACACAAAGCCCAGGATCCCCCTGCTCTGCAATATTTTCTGGGTTTTCGTCTTCCCCCCACCTCCCATACTTTCCCATGTTTTCCTGGGAATCGGCGATTCATTGTGTCTATGTGTTCTTTCTCCCCTCCTGAGAGGACGGGGCTCCATTCCCTCCGGCCTCCTCCCTGCTCCGTCTTGCCTTCAAGGCCGTCTCGGGGGCCTCCTGTGCCGTCTGGGGGCCCCCTGGGGCCGCCTCGGTCCCTCAGGGCAATCTTCGGGAGCCTCTTGGGGCTGTTCTGAAGCGTTCTGGGGGCCTAATTTGGCTGTCTTGGGGCCCTCGAGGGCTGCCTGGAGCCACTCTAGGGGCCCACCTGGACCGTCTTGGGGCCGTCCTGGGCTCCTCTTGGGCCGTCCTGGGCTCGTCTTGGGGCCCTCTTGGGCCATCTTGGAGCGATCTCGGGTGCCTCTTCGGCCGTCGCGGTCGCTCTGAATACCGAGCAGCCGAAGATCCGAACATTGCAGCGAAACTTACGGAAAAGCCATCAAGGGGCCTCTTGGGAGTCGTCTTCGGGCCCCCGTGAGTCATCTGGGGAGCCCGTTGGGCCGTCGAATGCCCATCTTGGGCCATCTTGAGCCCATCGTGGCCGCCTCGGGGCGCTCGTCGGGCCCTTCTGAGGCCTCCTGAGGCTCTCTGGCCTCCTGAGGCTCTCCTGGGCCATCCTGGGGCCACCTGGGGCCCTCCTGGGGCACTCCGGACACAGGCTTCTGGGGCGCTCTGGACACGGCGCTCTTGTCAGGTCATTTGTCTTTGTATATAGGTACTCATTAGATGGACTTCGTAAGGATCTCTCTCTATACATATATATGGATCGATATCTATCTATATGACCGGTTTGTATATATGTATACAGTATCGATATACACATGTATATATATATATATATATAAGTATATCTATACACACATCTAGTCATATTTATATATGGATAGAGAGAGAGGCGCGGCTATATTTATATACACCCACACACATCTACACAAAACACATACATGTTTATGTATCATCGCGCGCGCTTCGCGCGCTCAAGTTCTAGCTAGGCTTGATGGGCGAACTCATGGAAAATCATGTTTGTCGTGTCTTGAATCCAAGGACTCTCTTCGAGGCCCCGCGCAAGCCTCGGAACCGTGTAGGAAGGGATCTGCGGAAACGCAGAAATCATTACTTCCCATTCGGTTTTTTCCACGATTTGGGACCCTCAAAGGTTTCATGGGTTCGTCTCTGGGAGCTGAGGGAAGCCTTCATTGTGGTCTGTTGTGCAAGAGTGGTCAGGGGGGCGAACTTAAAGCACAAGAATTGTTGGATTTCTATGTTTTTTGTTCAAGTTGCCGTGCCTGGGCTGTGGGTTAGAATTTTTCTGGATGCAAGCCACGGTCTATTTGGATGCCCCTCGGGGTCTCCGTGCAAAAATAAGCAGGCGGTGAGTTTGAAACAAGGAGTTCTACAATGCATGTTTTCAACTCATGAGATCATGAGATCTCGATTTCTACGGTGGTTTCAGGGGCAGCCAAAAGGACGCGAGGACGATCAAAGAGAGTGCCAAGACAGCGTCAGAGAGTTCAACAATACTCCCGAACAATATTTGCGTGTGACCCCGAAGTCTTGATGGGGCTCGAGAAAGAGGTTCGGGAGTAGGAGTCCCAACTTAAAAATAACCTCTGGAATTCCAGTTTTTTTGAATTTCCTGTGTTTGAGCTTTGGAAGCGGGACAACGTGAGATGGCGAAACACGTAGGAAAAACAATGGAAATCAACGATCTTACCCTCTTCGGGCTCTCTCGGGACGGCTCTCAAGCTCCCTTGGGCTGTTTAAGGGGGCCTCGTCGGAGGTTTTTGGGGGCCTCTCAAGGGTCTGGGGTGTGTTGGGGGTCCTGGAATCCTCTCGGAGGTCTCTGGAGGCCTCCTGCCCCCCCGCTCTTGGGCCCATCTTAGGCCTGTTCTTGGGTGGTCTGGAGCTGTCCTGGGCGCCCCTTCGGCAATCTTGGGGCCTTCTTGGCCCGTCTTGGGGCCGTCTTTAAGGACTCTTGGGCGGTCTTGGGGCGGTCTTGGGGGCCTCTTCGGCCGTCTGTGAGCGTTGGAAGCATGAAATGGTGAGAAGGCCAAGAACATATGGAAAAACAATGCAAATCAACGCTCTCGGGAGGCCTCTCGGTCGGAGCTCTCTTGAGGTCTCTTGGAGGCCTCCTGGGAGCCTGGAGAGCCGCCCGAAGGCTATCTTGGGTTGCTTGGGAGCGTCTTGGGCCGATCTTTTACGTTCTGTGGTCTTATTGGGGTCGTCTTGGGCTGTCCTTGGGCGTTTGGGGGGCTCCCCGGGAGGCCGGGAAGCGCGGTACCAGTAGCATTACGCAGATGCCACGGGGAGGTGTGGGACCCCCGGGGGGAGCGTATATTTCATATTATATGTGTGTGTATATATATATATATACTAGAACCATCGCGCGCGCTTCGCGCGCGCTCAGGTTCTAGCAGGCCCCAGACCTTGACGAATTCATTGCTAAACGGGGCGGAGGCCGTATGAATCGGGTTCCCAGAAGGCCTTCTGGGAGCATGGGTTTGGGGGCGTCTTGGGGAGCCTGTTGGGGCGTGCCGTCGTCGTCGTCGTCATCGTAATGTCGACGTTGCCTATTGGGGCGCGCCCTCGTCTTCGTCGTCGTCTTCGTCATTTCGTCGTTGTCGTCGTCGGTTCAAGAGGGCGCTCGGGGCAACTTTGTGCGAAACGATCTGCGGAAGGCCGCGAGAAGGCGATCAGTCATGTTCCCAATCAACTTCCCAAACAGCTCTCCTGTAGCATGATGGTACTTCGAAGCATCCGGAGACTCGCGGGCCCATGATGAACCATGTCCCTGGAAGGCTTTCTGGGGACATGGTTTGTTGGGGTGTGTTGGGGGTCTCTTGGGCGTTCCCTGGGGGCCCAATGGGGGCCTCCGGGAACTCTCGGGCCCATGATGAACCATGTCCCCGGGTGTGTTGGGGGGCCTCTTGGGCGTGGGAGCCCCTTGGGGGTCTCTTGGGGCTTCCTGTAGGCCTCTTGGGCGCCTCACGGGGCTTCGTGGAAGCCTCTTGGTGGCCTCCTGGGGCCTACAGACATCGAAATTTCGGTTGGCGGTCCCTCTCTGGGCCCTCTCTTGGGGAGCTCTTGGGGCACAGTTGGGTTGTCTGGGGAGCCTCCTGGGCCGTCTTGGCGCCCACTTCCGGGCCTCGTGGCCTGTCTTGGAGCGATCTGAAGGGCCTCCGAGCAAGGCCGTGAGGGAGCGCTGGGAAGCGGGGGAAGCGAGAACGCCTAAATCCTTCAAGAACCATCCGAAAATTAGTGAATCTTGCCTCCCAGGGCCCTCTTGGGGAGCCTCTTGAGTCCGTCCTGGAGCGTGTTGGAGTCCTCGTCGGCCGTCTTGAGGGCATCTTGGGCGTCTTCGGGGCCTCGTGGGACCGGCTTGGGCACTCTCGGGACCCCCTTAGCCTGTCGTGGCCTGCTTCGGGGCGGGCTCGGGCAGCCTCGGGAGCTCTGGACCCCCCCCCCCGCAACCCCCAGTGGGCACCGATGAGGGGAACAGGCAGCGGCCCGCCCCGGGGCCTACTCCGAGATAGAGAATCATGTTCCCGGGAAGCTTTCCGGGAGACTGATTTGTTCGGCTCTCTAAAAGGGGGGCCTCTGGGGGCTTACCGAGGGGCGCCTTTTGGCCTTGTCGGCAAGCCTATTGGAGACATGGTTGGGGCGGTGGGCAGAAGCCCAAGGAATCATGCTCCCGGAAAGCTATCTGGGAAATACGATTTACCGAATTGTCTTGGGAGCCCGTAGGGGGCTTCCCTGGGGGCCTATTGGAGCTTCTGGGGGGCATCTTGGGAGCCTCACGGGGCTTCTTGGGAGCCTCTTGATGGCCTCCGGGGGCGTCCTGGAAGCCTCTCAGGCCGGAGACCTTGAAATGTCGCGCTCTTCGGGCCCTCTTGGGTCGCTCCTGGGGCTCTCTTGGGGCGCTCTCGAGGCCCTCTTGACTTATCTGGGGGGCCTCCTGGGCCGTCTCTGGGCTTTCTTGGGAGCCTCTTCGACCGTCTTGGAGCGATCTGAAGGGCCTCTGACGCGGTACAGGACCGTGGGGAGGCGGAACATGGGAGAGCGCAAGACTGCTTCAAAAACCATTGGAAAATACATGATGTTCGGCTTCTAGGGCCCTTTGGAGGGGCCTCTGGAGGCGCTCTTGGGGCGTTTTGGCGGCGTCGTCGGTCGTCCTGAGGCCATCTTCGGCGTGTCCAGGGCCTCTGGGGGCTGTCTTTGGGCGTCCTGAGAACCCAGGTATCATGTTCCTGGAGAGGCTTCCGGGAACATGATTTCGGGCCTCCTGGAGGCCGTCAGAGCCGTCTTGGGAGGTTCCGTGAGCCCCACAGAACGACCCTTGTGGGCCGTCTTGGGCCCTCTTGGGTTTCTCTTGGGCTGTCTCGGGGCTCCTCAAACGCGTCTGGGGCACTGCGAAGACGGAGCAAGCGAGTATGCTGAACATGTATGTTTTACGAAGAAGGAATGGGCCGATTTTGCCTCTTGAAGGCCCTCATGGGGGCCCTCGCCGGCCATCTTCAAGCCATCTCGGGCCCTCTTGGGGCCTCGCTGAGGCTGTCATGTGGGCCTCTTGGGCGTCCTCGGAACCCGGAAGTCATGTTCCCGGAGAAGCTTCCGGGAACATGATTTCGAACGGGGCCCTCTTGGGCCTCCCTGAGGCTGTCTTGGGGGCCTCCTGGGCCGGCTTCGCGAAGGCCTCTTGGGCCGTCTTGGGGGGTTCTGTGAGCCCCACAGGCCGACCCTTTGGGCAGTCCGGGGCCCTCTTGGGTCTCTCTTGGGCTGTGTTGGGGCTCCGCGAGGGCGTCTGGGGCACTTTGAAGACGAAGCCAGCGAGCATACCGAAAACGCACGTTTTACGAAGGGAAATGGGCCGATTTGTGCATCTTGAAGGCCCTCTTGGGGCCCTCACGGGTTCTCTTGGGGCGCTCTTGGGCGTCTTCGGGGCCTCTTCAGGCTTTCGTGACCACCTGTACGGCCCGCGTGGCCTGTCGTGGGCAATTTGGAAGCGGCCCGGGGCAGTCCCGGGGGTCTGTGACTCCCCAAAGGTTCGGGGGGCAGCCATGGGGGATGGCGGCACCGATTTTGCCCCCCCCCCCCCCCCCCCCCCCCCCCCCCCCCCCCCCCGACCTACTCAGATATATGATATATGTATAGATAGATAGATAGATAGATAGATATGTAGATATATATAGATATATAGATATATATACATATATATATATACATATAGATAGATCGATATATATATATATATACATATATATAGATAGGTATATACATAGATAGTTAGATATATAGATATGTGTATATATACATAGGCATAAACATACATTTAGATATACAATTCTGTGTGTATACATATGTATGTATGTATGTACATGTATGTCTGTCTGTCTGTCTGTCTGTCTGTATGTCTGTCTGTCTGTCTGATTGTATGTCTGTATGTATGCATGCATGCATGTATGTATGTAGTATATATGTAACTATGTATGTGTGTATGTGTGCATGTATGTATGTATGTACGTACGTATGTACGTATGTACGTATGTACGTATGCACGTATGCATGTATGCATGTATGCATACATGCATGTATGCATGTATGTATGTATGTATGTATGTCTGTCTGTCTGTCTGTCTGTATGTATGTCTGTATGTATGTATGTATGTATGTATGTATGTATGAGTATTTACACATACATATAAAACAACACCTATATATAGAGAGAGAAACAACAAATACCCTAGCGGTGCGATCAGGAAGCGCCCGCCACGGAGCTTACACTACATGCGTTTCGAGGCGCGCAGAAGATGCTGCAGATGGTCATCTATTTCATCATCCTCGGAACCATCACCACCCCCACTGGGGCACGGCAAGTCGGCTCTTCCAACGTACTCCCTCCAGGTAGGGATGGGTGCCCCGAAACCCGAAGGAGACGGTACCCGCCCCCACCTCAGGGCGGGACGATTGCCCAACGGGGCAACGGATTCACCTGTGGGGGTGGGGATTGTTTTCTTGAGCAAGGACCTACCGTCCAGGCATTCCCATAGGCCTACCACGACATGTTCTTTGAACTTGATGTCCGAATAGCGAAACCAAAATTCTCGTAACATAAACCCGACGTGATAAAACATTACAGTCTCAGCCGGGCATGTTCTGAGAACATTTCGTGCAGACCACAAAAAGTTCTTAGAACATTCTTTGGTGGGCCTATACGCGAGCCAAACCGCTTCGGCACTGCTTGATTTTCCTCGTCCAATTTATCTCCTCTTCCGCATCAGAGCCGGTAGGGCGGCGGAGGCGCGGTCGCATCGGCGCCCAACAGGCGGCAGCGACAGGCTCACCCCCCAAACGGCGGAGCCGCGCGCCGAGGGACAGCCGCGCCAACAGGCTCGCGCGCCGGCGCGTGCCTGCAGAAGTGCACTACCAGAGGAGGAGGAGGAGGAGGAGGAGGAGGAGGAGGAGGAGGAGGACGAGAAGGAAACAGAGGGGGGCAGGAGGAGGAGGAGGAGGAGGAGGAGAAGGGCGAGGAGGAGGAGGAGGAGGACAACTGAAGAGCAGAGCGAGCCTGTGCGCGCGCGGGCGCGCGCGAAGACCCGTCCGGCGGCCATCGCGCCTTGGGCGACGCCCTGCGAGTGCACGCTTACGCGGCGCCTTGGGCGTGTACCAGACAAGCCCGGCGACTGCACGCTGAACGCGCGTGCTGGACTGGTGCACGGCTCGGCTGGCACTGCCCAGTCACTCCTCCTCCTCCTCCTCCTCCTCCTCCTCCTCCTCCTCCTCCTCCTCCTCCTCCTCCTCCCCCCGTCGTCCTCCTCCTCCTCCTCCTCCTCCTCCTCCTCCTCCTCCTCCTCCTCCTCCCCGTAGCCATTTGGGCTCAAGCGGAGGCGCTCCCTGGAGCGCCGTAGCCGCGCCGTGCCCCGCGGGCGCGTGCGGCCAGCACCGGCGGTGCGATGGGACGCGGCGGGCGTGGCGGCCTTTCGGTGCGCCATGGCACCGCGCTCGTCACGGGCGCCACGGGCGCCTCCGTCGGCGAGGCCGCCGAGCTCCTGCTGCGAGTGCAGGCAGGGAGCGCAGCGGCGGCGGAGGCGCCAGCCGCAGGCGCGGCGAGGGAAGCGGCGGCGGCAGCATCCAGCCGCTCGGCCCTCGGAGACCGCACGCAGGCACTGCTGGGAGCGGCAGCGGAGTTGGTGGCCTCGCTCGGGTCGCCTACGCTGGCCGCAGGGCTTGGAGCGGTCCGCACCCGTGGGCCACGGGTCCCGTCGGCCCTCGAGAGGAGCTGCAGGACGCTCGACGGGGCAGCGGCCTTCCTTCGCCTCCTCGAGAGGCGGAGGCTGTGGTCGCCAGCCTTCGGCGCTGGCTGACGGACGGAGCCGAGCCCAGGGCAGGCCCGCAGGCGGCATATGAAGAAGACGTGCTCGGCGGCTATGACATGATCAAGGCCGGCCCCAAGCACCTGGTGGAGCTCGGCACGCAGGTGGAGTCTGACGAGCTGGAGCCCAAGGAGGCCGAGGGCAAGCTTGAGCGGAAGTCCAACCTGATGGAGCTGCTGGGCGAGCAGGTGCTGGAGCTGCAGGCCGCCAGGGAGGAGCACAAGCAGCACATGGAGAACATGCGCAGGGAGCAGGAGCAGCTGGTGCAGCAGCTGAACCACGAGGAGAACAAGTACAACGAGTCCGCGAAGCGCAACCAGCAGGTGGAGCTCGAGGTGCAGCATCTCGCGCACACGGTGGCGGAGCAGCGGGAGCAGATCGCGCAGCTCGAGAAGGCCCTGCAGGAGCACGAGATCGCCTCGCTCGCGGCGGTCCCCGCCTTCCCCGTCCTGCACATCGACGAGGAGGGCCAGTCGCGCAACGTCGAGCAGCAGCAGCAGCAGCAGCAGCAGCAGCAGCAGCAGCAGCAACAGCAGCAGCAGCAGAGCGACGGCGACGATCTGGAGATCAACGGTCACCAGCTGGGCTCCGCGGAGGGCCAGGGCAGGCAGCTGAACGTAGTCGAGACGAAGGTGAGCATCGCGGACAGCCAGGTCAGCTCCACGGGCAAGCAGCAGAGCTTCGTGAAGCACCAGGGCAGTCCCCAGCACGCCTACGCGAAGCAGAAGAGCATCGGCGACGCGCAGTCGGTCCTGGCGCGGTGGGAGGCCGCACAAACAACCCCCAGCCGGCGCGCGCAGAGACGCGCGAGAAAGCGGCACACAGCAGCAGAGCAGGAGCGAGAGACGGACGCAAGGAAGTCTGGCTTGATCAGGATCTCCGTGAACGTGCTGGCCTACATCGTCTTCGTGGTCCTTGTAGTTTCGGCTGTTGACAAGGGGATGCAGGCCTTGCTCGGAGGGCACGAGGAAAGGACATCGTCAAGCGGTGGTCGCCCTGGCTGCTCCATCCGCGACGCTGGCCAGTGCTTAGCCGTGCTCAACACCGAAGCGCAGCAGGAAGGGAGGCCAGGGCCCAGACAGCACAGAAGAGGTCCACCGCCGACATCATCGTGGAGGCGGAGGTTGACACGTGCCTGGTGGACACGATATAGTCCCCGTGGTGCTGGGCACGGGGCCGAGCGGCAGCACGGGTCAGCCTGCCCTCGGTCCCCAGCCTGGCGAGGGGTAAGGCCACCACGAACCCCAGCGTGGCGAGGGGTTAGGCCACAGCGAACCCCAGCGTGGCGAGGGGTTAGGCCACAGCATGCCCCAGCGCGGTGAGGGGTTAGACCGCAGAAACCCCCAGCGTGGCGAGGGGTTAGGCCACAGCGAACCCCAGCGTGGCGAGGGGTTAGGCCACAGCAGGCCCCAGCGCGGCGAGGGGTTAGGCAGCACCGCACCCCTGCGCGGCCACTGCGGTCCCTGGCGTGGCGAGGGGCTAGGCCACAGCGGACCCCAGCGTGGCGAGGGGTTAGACCACCACGGACCCCAGCGCGGTGAGGGGTTAGACCGCAGCAGCCCCCTGCGTGGCGAGGGGTTCGGCCACGGAGTGCCGCCAGAGAGGATGCGCGCTGAGGCCGCTGGCCCACCCTGCCGCGAGCGTGCTGTTAGCGCGCTCGGCCAGGGTGCCGAAACCAGTGGCACCCACGTGCATGCCAGAGCACGCGTGTTTTAAGCTCCTCCTCCTCCTCCTCCTCCTCCTCCTCGCCCTCCCCCTCCTCCTCCTCCTCCTCCTCCTTCTCCTCCTCCTCCTCCTCATCATCACCCTCCCGCCTCCTCCTCCCTCCTCCTCCCTCCTCCTCCTCCTCCTCCTCCTCCTCCTCCTCCTCCTCGTCCTCGTCCTCGTCCTCGTCCTCCTCCTCCTCGTCGTCCTCCTCCCTCCTCCTCCGCCTCCCCCTCCCTCCTCCTCCTCCTCCTCCTCCTCCTCCTCCTCCTCCTCCTCCTCCTCCTCCTCCTCCGCGATCCTCGGACTTCGTCTCCTCGGCATGGCGCAGGTGGGCTCCTCCTTCCTGCATTGGGTGCTCGTGAAGGGCCCCATGGAGCCCAAGAGCAGTGAAAAACGACCGGAGGCGGATGCCCGGGTGCCTGGGTGCCCGGGTGACGGGTGCCTTGTGCCCGGGTGGGTGCCCGGGTGCCGGGTGCTCGGGTGCCCGGTCCCCTGTAGCCCTATAGCCTTATAGCCCTATATCCCTATCGCCCTATAGCCCTATAACCCATATAGCCATATAGCCCGTATAGCGCCCAAGAGCCCATATAGCCCTGTAGCCCCATAGCCCTACAGCCTTAAAAAGATTATGAGTGGGGCTTGTCTCTGGTATCATTCTGCTTATGTCATTGTTTGTTCCCCTATTCTCGGATTTGGCGCGCGGTCGCCAAATCCATGGATCGGGGGAGGTGCCCTCCCCAAAATGCGGCCGGTGCCGCCTCGCTCGGCAGCGGAAACCCGCGATTGCCCGTGGAAACGGGACCCGTTGCTAATCCACGCCCCCTTGATCCATGTCTGCGATCGCCTGATCCCCAGGTGGTCCCGGCTTGTCCGATCGGGTCGGGCGAAAGGGGGGATAGCAAAGGAGGGGTTTGAGAATCAGCTCACGTAGCTGCTTTTCCCGGCGCCTCCCGACGCAGGAGGCGGCTTTTTCTCGTGGAATGGGCCCCTCGGTGGGCCCGAAACCAGCTGCATGCAGCAAATTTCGTAACCCCCCCTTTCCCAATCCCCGCCTTTCGTCCGGCCCGATCCGAGCAGGCCCCCCGAGTCGCCCGGGGCCCTCTCAGCAGCCCAACGCAGGGGCGCGGAGCGCTCCAGGGGCGCCGCGGAGGCGACGCGAGGGTGTCGGGACCGCCCTGGGCTGCTCGACGGGCCTGTGCAAGCCCGCTTGGGACTACCGCGCTGCAAGGAGGAGCGCTGAACAAGGAATGGGGAGGCGTTCCTGGCCACGGCGAGCCTCGGCCACGAGCAGGTTCCACGACCTGCATCTGGGGGGCGGCCGTCAACTCCTGAGCCCCTCCTGAGCCCCTCCTGAGCCCCTCCTGAGCCACAAGAGCTCCTTGTAGTTCAGCGTATCGGCTGTACCTGGGGGGGGGCTTTCCGTGCGCAGCCCGAAGCCTTACCAGACGCGTTTCTCCCATGACCCCGCCTTCCCTTCTTAGAGGCCTCCTAGATAGGGTCCGAGGAGATTGGGTCAGAAGATCGCGCCGCATCGCCGATGCATCGGCGAAATCGGCGTGTAGAAATTCGGGCTCAAGTTAAACCGCATCGCCGATGAATCGGCGATGCGGCGCGATCTTCTGACCCAAACTACTCAGACCCCATTGAGGAGGCCTAGAGTTACTGGACCCGTCCCAGACATGCGACGTCCTGAATTTTTCAATACGCCGTCCCCGCAAGTCCTTCCCCGGGACGGGTTTGGCATCCTGAGTTTTCCCTTGACGGTCCCGGGGCCCAGTATAAGGGCCCCCGTGGGCCAAACATGGCCAGACACCTGCAATCCTGTTTTTTTTGGCGACGCGAGCACGTCTGGGTTTCCCCATAAACTCGGGCGGGTGGTAATAGGGGGTGACCCACATGGGGGGTGAAGAGCAACGCCCTCAAAGGGGCTCTTCTCTTCACCCCCTTTTTGGGTCACCCCCCGTTGTGGAGGACAATGATATGGGTGAGGGGGGGACTGGCATAGGGGGGGATGCATCGACCTGGAATCGGCGATAGGGGAAAAACCGCTCTCTGGGAAAAGGATTACTTCTCCGGGAAAAAGGTTACTTCTCCAGGTGAAAGTAGCAAAATGCCGGGTCGGTTACTTCTCCGGATGAGAGCCTTAAAGGTGTTCCACCGGCCCCAAACAACCACCCCAAATGCCAACAGCAAAACACTAAAAACCAAACACCAAACACCAAATCCCAAACCCCAAACACCCAACAAACATACCTCAAACCTCAAATCCCAAACCCCAAACACCAGACACCAGGCACCAGACACCAAAACCCCAAACCCCCAACTCTAGACACCAAAACCCAAACACCAAACCCCAAACCCCAAACGCCGAACACCAAACCCCACACACTACCAAACCCAACACCCCAAACCCCAAGCAGAACGATGACGGTGAGGAGGAGGAGCAGCAGCAGCAGGAGGAGAAGATGAGGAGAAGGCTTGAGGGGAAGGAGAGTTTAGAGGAAACTGAGGGGCAATAAGGAGGAGGGGGAGGAGGAGCATGGAGGATACTAAGGAGGAGGAGGTGAAGGAGGAAGAGGAGAACTATGATAAATGAAGAGGGTGGTGTTGATGATGATGTGGTGGTGATGAGGAAAGGAACGCGTGCCATGGTAATGGCGAGGCTGATGATTGCCATGGTGGTCGGGAGTCCTCGGGCACTCTTGGGCGCATATTGGGCCGTTTGGGGGGCCATCTTGGGGTCACCTTTGGGGCCTCTCGCCCAATCTAGGGGCGATATGTTGGGCCTCTCGGGCACTGTTAGGGCCGATAAGGCGAACGTGATAAACATCAACACTTATCAAGGTTCGGAACGATCTTTGCCTCTTGTGGACCTCTTTGAGCCCTACGACTACAAAGGCTAATCCTCACAGTTCCACTACTACTACTACTACTACTACTACTACTACTACTCCTACTCCTACTCCTACTACTACTACTGATACTACTACTACTACTACTACTACTACTACTACTACTACTACGACTACGACTACGACTACGACTACTACTACTACTACTACGACTACGACTACTACTACTACTACTACTACTACTACTACTACTACTACTACTACTACAACTATGACTACTACTACGACTACGACTACTACTACTACTACTACTACTACTACTACTAGTACTACTACTATGACTACTACTACGACTAGTACCACTACCACTTCTACTACTACTACTACCACTCCTACTACAACTACGGCCACTACTACTACGACGACGACGACGACTACTACTACTACTACTACTACTACGGCTAAAAAAACAACTACGACTACTACTACTACTACTACTACTACTACTACGACGACTACTACTACTACTACTACTACGACTACTCGACTACTACGACGACTACTACTACTACTACCACTACTACTACCACGACGACTACTACTACTGCCTCTACTACTACTACTACTATTATTACTACTACTACTACTACTATTACTACTTCTGCTACCACTACTACTGCCACTGCCGAGGTCATTACTACTACTACTCCTATCACTACGGCTACTACTACTCCCACTACTACTCTGATCAAAACCGCTACGTAAACTATTCCTACTACTACTGCTACATGTACCACTACTCTTACACTTACTCTTACTCTGAATCTCACTACTACTACTACTACTACTACTACTACTACGGCTTCTGTTATTGCTCCTACTAACACTACTACAACCTCTACTACTATGACTACTACTACTACTAATACTAATACTACCACTACGACTACCAATACTACCACCACCACCACCAGCTCTACTACTACTACTACTACTACTGCTACTACTAGTGCTACTACTACTACTACTGCTACTACTACTACGGCAACTACGACTACTCTACTGCTACTACTACTTCTGCTACTTCTGCTACTACTACTACTACTACTACTACTACTATTACTATACTATTACTACTACTACTACTACTACTGCTACTACTACTACTACTACGACTACGACTACTACTACTACTACTACTACTACTACTACAACTACTACTACCTACTACTACTACTACTACTACTACTACTACTACGACTGGGGATACTACCACCACCACCCACTACTGATGCATCAGGATTGCTAGCACTACTACTGCTGTTACCACTACGGTTGCTTCGCTACGACTACTACTACTACTACTACTACAACTACTACTACCACTACTACTACTACTACTACTACTACTACTACTACTACGACTACTACAATACTGCTACTACGATTACTACCTCTACTACAGTTACTACCAGGATTACTGCTGCTACGCCTACGACTACGACTACGAACACGACTACGACTACGACTAAGACTTCTACGACTACGACTACGACTACGACAATGACTGCTACTACTACTACTACTACTACTACTACTACTACTACTACCACCACAAATACTACTACACATACTACAATTACTACTACGACTACTACTACGACTACTACGACGACGACGACGACTACTACTACTACTATTATTACTACTACTACTACTACTACTACTACTACTACTACTACTACTACTAAAACTGCTGCTGGTCCTACTACGGCGACTGATTCGTCACATCAAAAATAATTATCAGGAAGAGTTCGTTCTCTGGGCAGCCGCAGCTGCCGTGGTGCGAAATCCTGTGCCTCTTTGAAGGACCGCATTTAGGTATGAGAAAGTGACATTGGGCAAACTGTTGACGATCCCTGACAGGTTCTCACCCGGAGAAATAACTCTTCTGCCAGAATCATCTAAATCCCATAAGGATCCAGAAGTCCCCGCGGAAACTAACCCTTTTCGAGAACGAACTATTTGAACTGAGGACAAACCTCTCGCATCAGCGATACATCGCCGATAGATCGGCGACAGGCTTCCGATAGTGAATCTGCACCTTCATAAGCAGGTTGGGGCTATGGGGCCCCTATCGGCGATCAATGGGCGATTGGGGGTCGATGCGTCCCCCCCCTGATTATGCCTATCCCCCCCCAGTGTTGCCCCCGACCTTGCCACCCGCCCGAAGGACCTCACCTCGCCTCCCTCATGCTGGTGTCCTCCACACACAACGTCCCGCCGCGCTGCGGGGGCGCCGTGCCGGCCCGCGTGCGCCGCGGCGGGCGCGGTGCACAGGGGCCCGTACTCGGGCGCCCTCAGCGGAAGCGTTCGGAGCAGGACCGCACGCAGGACCCCAGGGTCCGCTCCCCGTGCTGCCTGCCGCGGGCGGCGAGCTCGGAGTCGACGGCGAGCGAGGGAGGGGGAAGCGAGAGGGAGAAGGCCCTCTCAGAAGGCGGCGGGGCTGCTCAGAAGCCCCCGCGCCTTCCGAGAAGCGTTCTTGGTCCTCGGGGAAGGCTTCGAACACTTCTCAGAAGACTGGGGGACTTCCGAACCTTCCGAGAAGGCCTTCTCCTTCGCACTACCCCCGCTCGCTCGCCGCCGACAGAGGCCCAAACCAGGATGAATAGACAATCGCAAGGTAAACGTTTTCTTGTTCGGCTTTCGACAGTGGGCGGAGGCAGGGGGGGGAGGGGGGGCTCTGCCTCCGGACCTCTGCTTAGCGCGACTGTTTGCAACAGTGCGTCCTATGGGGGCGACTCCACCTGGACGTCAAAAAACAGCCAAGATCTACTCCATGGTGGGGGGGAGGGGCGGAGCCAGGGGCCGCGCCGGCAAAACAAAGAATAAGAAAACGATCACAAGGCAACGCAACGGAAGTCAAAGCACTCGTTGCTTTATCGGCGCACTGGCCAAGGCCCTTGGCTCCAACAAAAATTGGAGCGGGTGATTGTTGCCCGTTTTCGGCATCCGGGAGCCCTCGCGGGGCCTCGGGAGCGTCCACAAAACGGCGCCCGAGGCGAAAGACTGGCCCGAAGGAGGTGGCCCAGGCCTCCGGGGCTCACGCATCGACAAATTTTTGGAGCAGCTCGAGGTCTGGGAACTCCCAGGCGCCCTGATGTTATGCCTCCTGGAGTCTCGTCTAGGGGAACAATAGATAAACATATAAAAACTCGGCGGTCCGCGCGGATTTCTCGGATCGGCGCTGGACCCCCTCTCTGGCGCGCGGAGCGCGCCCAGGGCGGCTCCGGAGGCGCCGCCAGGGGGGCCCAGCGCCGATCTGAGAAAACCGAGAGGATGTGAACCAAAAGCTTTTTTAAAAATTGAGTCGGTGACCAGGTGACCGGGTGACCCGGTAGCGTGGGTCAGGTGACTGGCCCGGTGACCTGGTGACCCGGTGACCCCGCAGTGTGGGTCAATTGACCCGGTGACCCAGTGACCCGGCAGGTGACCCGGCGGCGTGGGTCAATTGACCTGGTGACCCAATGACCCGGCGGTGTGGGTCAATTGACCCGGTGACCCCGCGTTGTGGGCAAACAAACCGGTGAACCAATGACCCGGTGACCTGGCGGCGTGCGTCAATGACCCAGTGACCCGGTGACCCAGCAGTGTGGGTCAATTGACCTGCATGGTGACCGGTGACCTGGCGGTGTGGGTCAATTGGCCCGGTGACCACTGCAGTGACCTGGTGACCTGGCGGTATGGGTCAATTGGCTCGGTGGCCCGGTGACCGGTGAGCTGGCGGTGTGGGTCGGTTGACCCGTGACCCGGTAACCCGGCGGTGTGGGTCAGATGATCCGGTGACCCAAAGACACGGTGACCTGGCCGCGTGCGTCAGGTGACCCGGTGACCCGGCGGTGTGGGTCAGTTGACCCAGTGACCCAGTGACTCAATTTGAAAAGACTTCTGGTTCGGAGGCTTCCAGGAATCTGCGCGGACCCCCGAAATGTTTGTATATGTTTATGTTATTGTTTGTTCCCCTATTCTCATCGCCAAAGCCAGGCCCGTCTCGAAAAACGTGTCGGGACGGCCCGTTTGAAGATTGGGGACGGCCAAGAGTGGGGCGTCCAAGAGGGGGGTGGGCGCAAATCATGGCTGGCGGCATGTGCGCGGCCCAGGGGGGGGGCCGTGGACGTATTGAAATAAGAAGAGGCGCCGTGAAATCTGGGGAGATATCATGGCCCCCGCGATGATATCCTCACCCCCCTGGTCATCACCCCCCTCTTGGCCGCTCCCGAGAAGAGTGCGGGGGCCGAGTCGGAGCGGCCTTGGGCTGGGCGGGGCAGAGTGCCTCCGTGCCCGCGCCCTCGCCGTCGGGGACCCCGTTGATGCGCCGCCGCATGTTAGGAGGTAGCTACTAGGAGGCCTTCGCTGGAAGGATTAGGGAGAATCCAGCCCTGTTGGGGGACTGCTACGCCGGATTAAGCCGCGGAAGAAGCGGGATTAAGCCTGATTAAGCGGGATCAAACCGGATTCAGAGGGATCAAGCTGGATTAAGCCGACTTCGGACCAGTGCAAAATCAGAATTTTACCCCCCAGGAATTGCATCCGAACGCATGACTGCGCGTGTGGCGCGGGGCATCTCCGCGGAACAAAGGCGCCCTGCATCCGCGAGGTCGCGGCCCGGGGGGCTTGGCTTAGGTCGGGCATGTCCCCTACGGGCAGATGGTAAAAAAATGGAAACATCGTACCCATACTATTTTGTACTATTTTTGAATATTCCTCCAGATGACGGACGTGCCCGACTTCAGGCTTGGCCCGCGACACCGTGGACACGTTTTTTTTGCCCACGAGCCTGGAGTTCGTGTCGGTCTTGTGGCAGTGGGCCTGGCGGCAATCCAATCGGCCCGTCGGCTTGTGGACGTAGTCGCCAGACAGCTTGATGAAATAGCTCGTGGCGATATTCTCTATCTTCTGCACGGCCGCCTCCCAATTTGCCATGAAATTGACCTCGCTCCCGTACATGTCCTGGTTTTGTATATATATATATATATATATATATATATATAAGACACGAACATAACCGTGTGGCGCTCCGCGCGGACTTCTTGGAACCGCGCCGGGCCCCCCTCCCGGGCGCGCGGAGCGCGCCATGCAGGAGCCGCGCTGGAGGCGCCACCCCTGGCGCGGATCCCAGAAATCCGCCCGGAGCACCAAAAGTTTATGTTTCTGCCGCTTTTTCTTCTTTCGGCGGTGGACAAACCTCCCTCTAGTAAACCACCCTTTCGTGAAAACGGCCCCGTACCGAAACCGACGGACCCGGACCCGCAAAAATGACGGCCGCGACGCCCCCTCGCGAACCGAAAACAGCCGATTCGCTAATCGACGCGTCAGGGTAGGAGGTCTATCAACCTCCGATTCTTCGGTCCTTGCACGGCAGGAAGTCCACAGCTTTTCGCATCCAGGGCGAATCTTCGTCATGCCGCGGATCCCCCCCCGCGTGCGGCCTGGCGGCCCTGCACGCCGGCGTCTTGCGAAGCCAACGGAGCTTGCCGTAGTTTGCGGATGTGCAGGTGTCGTACTTGGAGAGGTGCCCAATGGCACGAATGGCGTGGCCGCTCTTGCCGGCGCGGCCGACGCAGACGGCGGCGTCGTTCTGCCACGCGCACTCCGAGAACTTCGAGTAGGTGGATATGCAGCCGACGGAGCAGGTCGTGAACAGCTTGCTCGTGAAGCCCGCGCTCGCCGCGAGGATGGCCTCGTGGTAGATGTGGTTGAACATGTGCGTGATGTACTCGTCGGTCTTGGGCCCGCAAGCCATGGCCTTCTGGTCAAGATGGATCGACACGATCGGGGGGCACTTGTTTAGCTGCAGCTCGCACTTCCCGTCTTGGCGGTTGTACGTGGCGCCGTCGGGACAGAGGTAGGTGACGGGAGCCTCCTTCACGATCTCCTCGTCGCGAGGGGCCACTCCGTCGAAGTGGCACCAGCGCTCGCCATTCTCCACGACGATCGTCATGGGCTCCTCGCACCCCACGGTGTACTTGCACTCGCAGGCGTCAACTGACAAACCTGTATCCTGATCCGAACCTTCGGGGCACTCGCAGTCTCGGTAGCACGACAGCTCGTCTTGAGACAACCTGGGCAAGAGGCAGATGTACATCGCCACCAAGCCAGCTCAGGCCCTGATTGGGCCCGGAATTGGCGCATACGCCCTCCAGACCTTCCACAAGAAGGCATATCTATCAATCCTGGGCCCGAAATGCACCTGAACCTTCCTGGTGGTCTAGCATTGCCTTTTGTGGGCCTTCGGCGGGCGACAAGACTGATGCCAGTGCCCGTGTGGCACTGCAGCCGCTCCTTCTGCGCGGGTATTTCCTCTATGTGCACCTCCTCGTGTCGTGCGCAGTCCTTGGAGGACTCCCATATGGTGTCCGAGTAGATTGGGTCGGGGGATCGCGCCGCACCGACGATACCGTAGCACCCCGCAGTTGCGGATAAGAGTGAGGGGGCGGCGGGTCATCGGTAGTCTGCGAGGCTCTGAAGAAGCCCGCCGCAGGCGCAGAATTCTTCACAAGCTATAAAACGAGCCCGCCGCAAGCGCCGATTTGTTGTTCAAACGCTGGGTGGGTCACGGGTTGGGTCGCAGGTGGGTCGCAAATTGGTCGACGGTGGGTCGCGGGCCGGGTCGCGGGTGGGTCGCGGGTGGGTTGCGGGTGGGTCGCGGGTGGGTCACGGGTGGTTCGCGGGTGGGTCGCGGGGTGGGTCGCGGGTGGGTCGCGGGTGGGTCGCGGGGTGGGTCGCGGGTGGGTCGCGGGGTGGGTCGCGGGTGGGTCGCGGGTGGGACAACGACAACACACAACAGTAACAACAGCAGCAGCAACCACAACAACACCAACACCAACACCAACACCAACACCAACACCAACACCAACAACACCAACAACAGCAACAACAACAGCAACAACAACAACAACAATCATTTAACGACTCTTCGCCCTTATCTGCTCGAGTGTCCAATGACGCGTATTTCCCAAACCCTCGATACCCGCCCTCGTCTTCGATCGAACCCCTTTTGGGGGGTATACTTTTCTTCCCTGTAGGCTGGGCCCTGGCAAGCGGCGGGGCGGCCGCGGACCGTCGGCCTGGTCAGCGGCAGCGCTGATCGGCGGGGCGGCCGCGGACCGTCGACCCGATCCCAAGAGGGACGGACAGGGGACCGACCACGACGACGACAACGACGACGTCGACGACGACGGCGACGACGACAAGCGAAAGCGAGAGCGAGAGAGAACGACAGCAGGGCCACGAAGAACACGAAGTAGGCCACGAAGGGCGACAGCGGGGACACGAAGGGAATGCGTATGGGGCCACGAAGAGCGCGAACGAGCGGGGGCCACAAAGGGCAGATAATGTGGGGTCACAGAAGGCAACGATGGGGCCACAGAGGTTAGCAACTGGGCCACGTAGGACAGTGAGGGGGTCACAAACGGCGACAGCGGGGCCACGAAGGGCATGCACATGGGGCCACAACGGGCGTGAACGAGCGGGAGACACAAAGGTCATACGTATGTTGGGCCGCGGAGGGCAAAGACGGGGCCACTGAGGGCAGCAACAGAGCCACGACGGGCAGCGAGGGGGCCAAGAAGGGCGACAGCGGGGCCACGAAGGGCATGCATATGGGGCCACCACGGGCGCGAACGAGCGGGGGCCACGAAGGGCATACATATATGGGGCCACGAAGGGCAGCGAGGGGGCCACGAAGGGCTGCAACGGGGCCACGAAGGGCTGTAACGGGGCCACGAAAGGGCAGCGAGGAGGCCACGAGGGGCTGCAACGGGGCCACGAAACAAAGCGAGGGGGCCACGAAGGGCTGCAACAGGGCCACGAAGGGCAGCGAGGAGGCCACGAGGGGCTGCAACGGGGCCACGAAACAAAGCGAGGGGGCCACAAAGGGCTGCAACGGGGCCACGGAGGGCAGCGAGATCCCGATTCCTAGGTAATCTGCGTGGGAGTCCTAAGCGTGAGCGCGACTCCTGGGTGCCTGGGTGTCTGGAGCGCGGCGCTTGATTAAATTGTAAGAAATTCCAACGCAAGTGCGCTATTCGTCAGTAAATTGCAAGCAAGTCTCCAGCGAGAGCGCGACTCCAGAGCGCCGGGATAACGATTCCTGAATACATGTTCAGGAAATCCCGAGCGAGAGCGCGATTCCTAAATACAATTAGAGGAAGTCTCTGGCGGGAGCGGGGGTCCTGGCTAAATTGTGAGGAAGTCTAATGCGGGAGCCATTGATGTTGTAACCCGGGAACCAGGGGCGCAGTTTGAGCATCAAGACCTTCCTGTCAAAAAATAGGGTGCCAGCGTCGAGCGGCACACTTTGATTGAGAAAAACAGTATACACCAGTGAGGGGGATCAACAATAATTATTCTTCAGCAGTGAGAGTTCAACAACAACAGCAACAACGACAAAGACAAGGACAACACCAATAACAATAACATAAACAACAACAACAGCAGCAACAAACACAACAACAACAACAACAACAACAACAACAACAATCACTTTACCCGAACGCTCAGTGTTCTCACCAGTGCCAGGGTTTTCATGCGACGCCAGCCAATACCCCCACTTTGTGGGGGGGCAGTGCAAGCTCTACCAAATATCCACACGACTCTTCGCCACCACCCACACCCAGCTTCCCGCCCTATGACGTTCGGACACTTCACTTCGTGGCCTGCGGACGACCGTGGCTACTACACTGGCGTGGAGTACACACCCACAGAAGTTGTTAAGCCTACGTTCGTACACCCACAGAAGTTGTTAAGCCTTGTTAACCCACAGAAGTTGTTAAGCCTTCCACAGAACATCTGTTGCATATGATGCATATGGTACATGATACACATGATACACATGATACGTACTCACAAGAAATTTTGAAAAGTCGTGCAGCTGTTTTTCGAGGACCTACGGTGCGATTCGTGTGATTTTATGATGCGCGGTGGTAAAATTCTTAAGAACCCAATGGTTTTTGGAGATTTCGGCGTGCGCGCGCGAAGAAAAAACGAATGTGTCCCGCATGGTATTATTTGACAGGGATGATGGCCCTGGCAGGTGCGCAACCGTTGTCGCAGAAGTTCGAAAAAGTTGCTCGCAAAAGCCCGTTTGACAGAAATGTTTAAAAAGTGTTGGGTTTCCTACGAATCCGCAAGAGCGCGCGGGATGAGATTTTGACATTTTTTGTTGAAAAACCATTGGTTTTTTGATGTTTTTATGTTAAAATCGCTGCGAACACTAAGCTTTTGGAAGGATTTCGTCTTGCGCGCGCGAATGTCCACTTTACCTTATTTTTTGCAAGGGATTCTTGAAATTTGATTATATTAGAACAAGAAATGTCATTTTATAGTGTTTTTTGCAAGGGAAAGCGGGGGGGAACAAAACAACCGGATCTTGATCACATCGAATTACCTGAGGCTTCCTCACGAAAATGATGAAAATGTAGCTGCGGCCTAGGCGGCGCAGGGGGGCCGTGCACCAGGGGCCCCAACAATAATTATTCTTTAGAATTAATAATGTTCAACAACAACAACAATTACTAGCACGTGGGGACACTCCGTTCTCACCAGTGCCAGGGTTTTCATAGGAGGCGGGCAATACCCCCACTTTGTGGGGGGGCCGGTTCAAGCTCTACCAAATTTCCAAACGACTCTTCGCCACCACCCACACCCAGCTTCCCGCCCTATGACGTTCGGACACTTCACTTCGTGGCATGCGGACGACCGTGGCTACTATTCAGGGCCCCGCGGCCGACGACGACGGCGTGCGCGCGCGAAGAAAAAACGAATGTGTCCCGCATGGTATTATTTGACAGGGATGATGGCCCTGGCAGGTGCGCAACCGTTGTTGCAGAAGTTCGAAAAAGTTGCTCGCAAAAGCCCGTTTGACAGAAATGATTAAAAAGTGTTGGGTTTCCTACGAATCCGCAAGAGCGCGCGGGATGAAATTTTGACATTTTTTTTTTGAAAAACCATTGGTTTTTTGATGTTTTTATGTTAAAATCGCTACGAAAACTAAGGTTTTGGAAGGATTTCGTCTTGCGCGCGCGAATGTCCACTTTACCTTATTTTTTGCAAGGGATTCTTGAAGTTTGGTTATGTTAGAACAAGAAATGTCCACTTTAGCTTATTTTTTGCAAAGGAAAACCGATCGTAACAACACAACCGGATCCGGACCAACCCGTTTTGCCTGAGACTTCCTCACGAAAATGATGAAAATGAGGCTGCGGCCTAGGCGCGGCGGGGGGGTCGTGCACCAGGGGTCCCAACAATAATTATTCTTTAGAAGTAATAATGTTCAACAACAACAACATCAACAACAACAATACCAACAACAACAATCATTATAAGACTGTTCGCTCTTACTTGCCAGTGTGTCATTCAAAAAGAGTTCCCCACACCCTCGATACCGGCCCTTTTTGTCTTCGATCACACCCCCTTTGCGGGGATTCTTCCTCTTTGCAGGGGAGAACGAGGGATAGTGGGAGGAAGGGAGGGGGAGAGACGAAGGAAGAGGGAAAACGCCAGGAGAGAAGGAGCGAAGAGGGGGGCGGTTGATTAGAGGCAGACAGTGAGGGAGAGAGAAGGACAGATACGAGAGGTAGAGAGAGAGAGAGAAGGGAAAGAAAGAGAAAGAAAGAGGGAGGGAGGATGCAGGCGAGGGGGGGAGAAGGGAGGAGGGAGAGGAGGGAGACGGGATAGGGCAGAGAGGCATGAGGTTGAGGGAAGAGAAGAGGGAGAGAGAAGGGAGGAGAGGAGGGAGGAGGGAGGAGGGAGAGGGAGGAGGAGCAGGAAGGTATGAGCGTGAACGTTCGAGGAAGTCCCAAGAAAAAACGCCGTTCCTGAAAGAAGTCTCGGGCGGGAGCCCACAACGGACGGGCGATCCCCTGACGGGCGGGTCGGGCTGGTGGGACATTCAAGCGGGATGCCTGAGTACGGCGAGAGCGCGATTACGAAGTAACTTGTAACGACGTCCTTGGCGCAGCGTGTTTCCTGAGCGTCGAACGCGCGATTTCTGCATACGTTGCATGGAAGTCACAGGCGACAACGCAATTCCTGAATAAAATGTGAGGGGTTCTCTGGCGGGAGCGGGGGTCTTGATTAAATTGCGAGGAAGTCTTGAATCAATTGCGAAGAAGTCTCAAGCGGGGGCGCCGTTCCTGAGTAAATTGTGAGGAAGTCTCAGATGGGAGCGGGGGTCCTGACTAAACTGCGAGGAAGTCATAAGCGGGAGCAGCGATCCTGAGTAAATTGTGAGGAAGAACAAGAGCGGGGGTCTTGAGTAAATTTGGAGGAAATTTCAGGCGGGAGCCGTCATTGTAATCCGGAGGGCCAGGGGCCCAGTTTGAGCACGAAGACTTTCCCTGCCAAAATTTGCTTTACGGAGGACCCAACCATATGCAGGTGTGAATACCGCAATTGTGATTCACTTTTTCGGTGGTGATCCCTATGATGCAACGAACCGTGCCAGGGGTGCGCCGAAATGAATGGCGTGGTACACAACGCGAACGAAAACGATTGATCTGAGTACGTAGGGAGACTGAGCGCGGGTGAATATGAGCGCGAGTGCGTCTGACTGTGAATGAATCTGCGTACGAGCGAGTCTACGTGCATGAATTCGAATATGACAAAGCATGGTGTACTTGTATATGAATGCCAATAGTTTGAGAACGACTGCCTCTGAGTACTCGTGACGCGGGGCGTGGCCGCCGCAAGGAGCTTCCCCGGGACTCCCCGACGACATCGCCAGCGCGCTGCGACGCCAATGTCGGCGCGCCCCCCGCGAGGATCGCGCCCGCTTCCCCCCCTTCTTTTACTCCCTCTTGACCCGCGCACTCAAAAGTCCAAGGCTGCGGGCGCAGCGCAGCGCGGAGTCCCCGCGACGCGCGCCGCGCTGGTCGCCCCGGGGGGGTCCCAGCGACGCGCGCGGGTCGTCCGCTGCGCGGAGCAAGGAGAGCTAGCTGGCTAGTCCCCGCGACGCGCGCTGGTCGCCCCGGAGGGGTCCCAGCGACGCGCGTGGGTCGTCCGCTGCGCGGAGCAGACAGAGCTAGCTGGCTGGCTGATAGCGGGCAAGGCTCTTGCCGCTGGGCAGAGCGACGACGCGCGCGGGTCGTCCGCGGGGACCTTCGGTGGAGCTCCCTGTGGGGACACGAAACGCTGTACTGGGTGAGGGAGACGCATGCGGACTGCGCCACGGGGACCTTCGGTGGGGCTCCAATGGGGCCGCGAAGCGCTGTACTGGGTGAGGGAGACGCATGCGGACTGCGCCACGGGAGCGTGTGAGGGGTGTGCCGAAATGGGTGTGCGGGACGCATGCGGGCACGCCCACTGGGACCTTCGGTGGAGCTCCCTATGGGGCCACGAAACGTGTGAGGGATGTGCCGAAATGGGTGTGCGGGACGCACGCGGGCACACCCACTGGGACCTTCGGTGGAGCTCTCTATGGGGCCACGAAACGTGTGAGGGGTGTGCCGAAATGGGTGTGCGGGACGCATGCGGGCACACCCACTGGGACCTTCGGTGGAGCTCCCTATGGGGCCACGAAACCGAAACGCATGCGGGCACACCCACTGGGACCTTCGGTGGAGCTCCCTATGGGGCCACGAAACGTGTGAGGGGTGTGCCGAAATGGGTGTGCGGGACGCATGCGGGCACACCCACTGGGACCTTCGGTGGAGCTCCCTATGGGGCCACGAAACGTGTGAGGGGTGTGCCGAAAACACCCACTGGGACCTTCGGGACGCCCACACCCACGGGACCTTCGGTGGAACGAAACGTGTGAGGGGTGTGCCGAAATGGGTGTGCGGGACGCATGCGGGCACACCCACTGGGACCTTCGGTGGAGCTCCCTATGGGGCCACGAAACGTGTGAGGGGTGTGCCGAAATGGGTGTGCGGGACGCATGCGGGCACACCCACTGGGACCTTCGGTGGAGCTCCCTATGGGGCCACGAAACGTGTGAGGGGTGTGCCGAAATGGGTGTGCGGGACGCATGCGGGCACACCCACTGGGACCTTCGGTGGAGCTCCGCATGGGGCCACGAAACGTGTGAGGGGTGTGCCGAAATGGGTGTGCGGGACGCATGCGGGCACACCCACGGGGCCTTCGGTGGAGCTCCGCATGGGGCCACGAAACGTGTGAAGGGTGTGCCGAAATGGGTGTGCGGGACGCATGCGGGCACACCCACTGGGACCTTCGGTGGAGCTCCCTATGGGGCCACGAAACGTGTGAAGGGGTGTGCCGAAATAGGTGTGCGGGACGCATGCGGGCACACCCACTGGGACCTTCGGTGGAGCTCCCTGTGGGGCCACGAAACGTGTGAGGGGTGTGCCGAAATGGGTGTGCGGGACGCATGCGGGCACACCCACTGGGACCTTCGGTGGAGCTCCGCATGGGGCCACGAAACGTGTGAGGGGTGTGCCGAAATGGGTGTGCGGGACGCATGCGGGCACACCCACGGGGCCTTCGGTGGAGCTCCCTATGGGGCCACGAAACGTGTGAGGGGTGTGCCGAAATGGGTGTGCGGGACGCATGCGGGCACACCCACTGGGACCTTCGGTGGAGCTCCCTGTGGGGCCACGAAACGTGTGAGGGGTGTGCCGAAATGGGTGTGCGGGACGCATGCGGGCACACCCACTGGGGCCTTCGGTGGAGCTCCCTATGGGGCCACGAAACGTGTGAGGGGTGTGCCGAAATGGGTGTGCGGGACGCATGCGGGCACACCCACTGGGACCTTCGGTGGAGCTCCGCATGGGGCCACGAAACGTGTGAGGGGTGTGCCGAAATGGGTGTGCGGGACGCATGCGGGCACACGCAGGAGGAGGGGGTGAGGAAGAGAGGAGGAGACGCGGGCCACCGTCTCTTCAAAACGAGGACCCAACACCACAGGATGGTTGGGAACAACACGGTGCAAGCGTCGAGGGGCACACTTTGATTGAAAAAACAACATGCACCGGTGAGGGGGGATCAACAATAATTATTCTTCAGCAGTGAGAGTTCAACGCAACAAGCAGAATCCTCACCACGAGTTCTCACTTTAGCCACGCACTCAGGGACAATGAATGACCGTTCGGCCCCATCACTTTGATAAACCATAGATGCATATACATATATATATATATATATACATACACATCTATACGTATCGCCGTGCACCGTGCACCGTGAACCAATATACATATATCTATATATATATATATACACATTAAAAAAGATGCGTCGGCGATGCGCCGAGACCTCCCGACCTCATCTACTCGGACCACGTGTGGAAGGTCTGGACTCCTGCTCTCCGCCCTCTGGGTAGTAGCCGTCCGGGCACACCTCCATGGGCTCGGCGACCTCACGATTCGTCACCGTGTGCGCCGGGATCCCTGCGGACTTGCAGTGGGCCGCGCCCGCGCGGGCGTCGAGCTCCAACTCATGAGATGGGCCGCAGTCCTGGAGAACAACAAAAACTGCAAGGACATAGACGGGCTTTCGGAGGTCCGCGCGAATTCTGCGGGTCGGCGCTGGGCCCCTCCCCGCGGGGCGCGGAGCGTGCCAGGGGCAGGGCCAGAAGCGCCGCCAGGCGGGGGTCCCTGCGGCGAGCCAAGAGATCCGCGTGTACCTCCGGGAGTTTCTGTTGAGATGCTGCTCTCTGTCCTCGGAGCGGGGCGAACGGAGACAACAGCAGCTCAAAATCGGTCCCTGGACCACCCATGGCCAAAACGCACCAGCTTTCCGACCTGCATCCAGCCGTGGCGGCGTGGGGCTCACCCAAAGGCCAACTGCCGGTGTCGCGACTGGCCCTCCTCCGATGTTCGGGGCGGTCCATGATCAGCGCGGCCGCACAGTCCCTCACCCGGGAGCTGCCCTTGGTCTCCACCACGGGGCAGTCCACCTCCTCGTAGCATCGCACCATGCCGCCACACAGCTCGAGCTGCATGCCGTCGGGGCACTCCAGCAGCTCGAGGCGGGGGGGCACAGCAGGCACCTCGACCTCCACGTACTTCGCGCACTCGACGTCGTCCTCCCCTTGACCCTCCTCGGAATTTGGCGTCGTTTACACGATCCCCATCCCCACTGGCGTGGCCCTGGCCCCACTGGCCGATGTATCCACATAGGTGGGATCTATGATCCCGTGTCAAGGGTTTACGGCCCTCCCCCCCAGATGGGATGAGTCTCGAGATTCCACAAGCCCCCCGCCCCCCCAGGTGGGACGGCGGGAGACGACGACGATGACGACGACGACGACGACGACGACGACGGCGGCGGCGGCGACGACGACGGCGACGACGGACAGACGACGGACGACGGACGACGGACGACGGACGACGGACGACGGAGACGACGACGACGACGACGACGACGACGACGACGACGACGACGACGACGACGACGACGACGACGATCGCGAAAAAACCGGCCGGCGACACCAAAACGCACGAGACTCACCGCCAGGTGTTGTCACCACCACGTTTGGGGACTACCAAAGGACGAAGGCGATGTAACCATCTACCAGGGGGGCTGAACGGGGTATACCCCGTTCAACCCCCCTGGTAGATATTTACACGTCCTGAGGATCAGGACGTGTGTTAGTCAAGTTTCTGTTTATATATATATATATATACACAGAAATTTGGCTAACACACGTCCTGAGGATCGTCGAGTGTGGGGAGGGCGAGAGCTTGTGCCTCAGGGAGCGGCGAGAAGCACGGGTCTTGCGCGATATGGCATAGGGACCTTGCGCGCTGGCCTGCGCGGGCCGCCAGCGCGACGCGCCACAGTGGAAGCGAGGGCGCCGACGCGTCGTCTTATCGGCGGCGGGCGAGAGGGGGAAGTGTGAAAGGGCGGGCCTTCTCAGGAAGCTCGGAGGTCCCCCGGCCTTCTGACAAGTTTTCGAAGCCTCCCCCGAAGGCACGAAAAAACCTCTCAGAAGGCCAGGAGGCCTTCTGAGAAGCCCCGCCGCCCTCTCAGAATGCCCTCTCCTTCTCATTTTGCCCCTCGCTCGCCGCCGATCTCAGGCAGGCAACTGACGCGCGACTGTCGAGGCAGTCAAGCTCCTTCTTCTGCGCCGCCCGCGTCGATGTTTGGAGGCATATGCTTAGGTCGGGCATGTCGTCCCACAGGCAGATGTTGGACAAAAACTGAAAAAAGAGTACGCAAACATGGTCAAACGTACTAGAAAAATCATCCCCGAACTATTGTTTGATAAGATTTCTGAATATCCCCCCTGTAGAGGGACAGGCCCGACTTCATTTTGGGGGTATGTGCCGCTCTCCCCGTCGCTCGGACGTCCATTCCCTGTGCTTTGTTCGGTTTCGTGCGTGTTTATTTTCGCAGGATGACCCAGGATGCTCCTCAATAATCCCCGCCGAGAAAAAGTGCACACTTCCGAGCGATACCAAGCTTGGGGGAGCTGCGCCCGGGGCCCCTCGCTCCCCCCGAAGACGTGCACGGTGCACCCCCCGAACGGAGGCTAAACGGTGCCTGGGCGCCCCTCGGCATATGTTCTGCAAAGCTTCGCCCGGTTGTCGTGGACCTGTTGGCGGCTTTTGTGGTTCTTCTGGTTGGATCCGGTCATTACGCGTTAATCGGCGGTGGACAAATCTCCCTTTAGTCAACCTCTCTCTAATGGAAACGGTCCAGGACCGAAACCAACGGACCTGGACCCGCAAAAATGGCGGCCGCGACGTCCTCTCGCGAACCGAAAACGGCCAATTCGCTAATCGACGTGTCAGGGTACGAGGTCTGTCCACCCCCGAGGTAAGAGTACAGCAGGGTCCGACCACAAGAAGACATCTTCCATAAGAAACCCGACCCTGAGACCCTCAGGATGCGCACTGATGTTTGCTGTGGGAGCGTCAGGCTTGCCATAGCAAGACAGTAGACAACAAACACGAGAAACCGAAGGCACCCTGGAGGAAGGAAGGGTGTTTCTTGGCATGGGCCTCCACTGTATACGTTTGAGCTGAACGTGCGTGTGGTTGCCATCTAACTCGGAGTACAGCAAGCCCGTATCGTAAGGATGTGCGGTGGGGGCGCAAAGGGTTAGGTCGGGCATGTCCCCAAACATGCGGATTTTGGATGAAAAATAAACATAGTCAGAACAGACCCCAACCATGCTCAAAATTAGCCTGACGAGGACCCAACCATATGCAGTTGCGAGTACCACAAGGCAAGTTGAACGAACGAGAGGGGTGTGCCGAAATCTGTGCGGTGTGCGCATAGTAACGCAGCCACTGGGGCCTTCGGTGGAGCTCCCAATGGGGCCACGAAACGTGCAAGAGGTGTGCCGACATTGGTGCTGTGAGCGCATTGGAACGCAGCCACTGGAGCCTTCGGTGGAGCTCCCTATGGGGCCACGAAACGTGTGAGGGGTGTGCCGAAATGGGTGCGGTGGGCGCATGCGAGCGCAGCCACTGGGGCCTTTGGTGGAGCTCCCTGTGGGGCCACGAAGCGTGTGAGAGATGTGCCGAAATGGGTGCGGTGGGCGCATGAGAACGCAAGAATTGGAGCCTTCGGTGGAGCTCCCTGTGGGGCCACGAAACGTGTGAGGGGCGTGCCGAAATGGGTGCGGCGGGCGCATGTTAACGCAGCAACTGGGGCCTTCGGTGGAGCTCCTTATGAGTCCCCGAAACGTGTGAAGAGGTGTGCCGAAATGGGTGCGGTAGGCGCATGTGAACGCGGCCACTGTGGCCTTCGGTGGAGCTCCCTATGGGGCCAAGAAACGTGTCAGGGGTGTGCCGACATGGGCGCGGTGGGCGCATGCGAACGCAGTCACAAGGACTTCGGTGGGGCTCCCTGTGGGGCCACGAAACGTGTGAGGAGTGTGCCGAAATGAGAGCGGTGGGCGCATGTGAACGCAGCCACTGAGGCCTTCGGTGGAGCTCCCTGTGGAGCCACGACACGTGTGAGGGGTGTGCCGAAATGGGTGCGGTGGGCGCATGTAAACGCAGCCACTGTGGCCTTCGGTGGGGCTCCCTGTGGGGCCGCGAAACGTGTGAAGGGTGTGCCAAAATGGGTGCGGTGGGCGCATGCGAGCGCAGCCACTGGGGCCTTCGGTGGAGCTCCCCATGGGGCCACGAAGCGTGTGAGGGGTGTGCCCAAATGGGTGCGGTGGGCGCATGTGAACGCAACCACTCGGGCCTTCGGTGGGGCTCCCTATGGGGCCACGAAACGTGTGAGAGGTGTGCCGAAATGGGTGCGGTGGGCGCATGTGAACGCAGCCACTGGAGCCTTCGGTGGAACTCCCTACGGGGCCACGAAACGTGTGAGGGGTGTGCCGACATGGGAGCGGTGGGCGCATGTGAACGCAGCCACTGAGGCCTTCGGAGGAGCTCCCTGTGGGGCCACGAAGCGTGTAAGGGGTGATGGTGATGATGATGCGGATGATGATGACGATGGGAGGAAGGAGGAGGGGGAGGAGGAGGAGGCAAGCTAGGTGCGCTCGCGTCATATCTGACGTCCTACCCCTCCCTCCCATCCCTTACCATGGCGCTGATTTTCTCTATCCGCGGACGCGTGTCGTAGCGGACCTGTGGCTCCGCGCGCGCGCGTAGTGGGTGGTGGTGCGCGTGCGTGCGTGCGTGCGTGTGTGCGTGGTTGTCGTGGTGGTGGTGGTGGTGGTGGTGGTGGTGGTGGTGGTGGTGGTGGTGCTGGTGGTTGTGGTGGTGGTGGTGGTGGTGGTGGTGGTGGTGGTGGTGGGGGTGCGGCGGCGGCGCGGTGGTGGCGGGCGGATGGGCGCGCGAGAAAGAGGCCCGCGCTGGGGCGAGAACGCCATCCTGAACGATGGAGGCCAAACACCGATCCGAAAATGAGGCCCACGCTGAAGCGGGAGCACGATTCGGAACGATTCGGGAGCAGAAATGAGGCCGACGCCTCAGCGAGAGCAGCATTTTGGAAAACAACGCAGGCGAAAACCCGTTTCCCGGGAATCCTGTGTAAAAAAACAGTACGCGGGGGGGGGGCGGATATCTTCGGGACGGCATCAGGGGAAGTGGGAGAGTATTTTCATATTGTGTAATCGTAGAGGAGAGGAGGAGTGACGCGGGGCGCTGTCTCTTCAAAACGAGAACCCAACACCACAGGATGGTTGGGAAATAATGAAAACATCGACCCCAGACTATTTTAAAGTACTATGTTTGAATCTTCGACTCAGCGCCAGAGCTTTGGAAGGCCATGTCGACGCTTTGCGGGCAGAGCGCGGCCAGCGGAGGCGACCAAGGATGGGCAGAGGGGGCGAGGATGCATGAGGGGCAACGCTAGGGAAGGACTGGCACAGGGGGGGATGCATCGACCTGGAATCGGCGATACATCGCCCATCGATCGGCGATGTGCTTCTGGTAGTAGATCCGCACATTCCTGGGCAGGCTGGGGCTATCGGGCCTCTATCGGCGATCAACGGGCGATTGGGGGTCGATGCATCCCCCCCTATGCCTGTCCCCCCCCTATCGTTGCCCCCAAATGCAAGGGTAGCCTTGGGTAGCCTTGGAAAGTCGCTCATCCTACACAGTCGCGAGCCCCACACGATCGGAGGACGAACACGACGGCACCAGCACGGAGGGGGGAACAAACGACGAGGCGACGCTTTTCCTTCCTCGACTCCTCCAACTCGTAACCGGTAGGGCATGTTCGGATGGTGTCGGAGTACTCTGTCTTCGTCTCCGTGCGTGCAGGCACGCCCTCATAGATGCACCAGTCCTCGCCGTCAACGACCTTTCTTTCCATCGGCAACTCGCATTCCACTTGGTAGGTGCATTGACATCCTTGGGTAACAGAGAAGATGCCGACCCTCAGATCCGGGAGTCGCACCTTTCTTCACAGCGGGCGGTTCCGCCTGGTTCTGGGCCACATGGACCCTCGCGGATCTAGGGCTCTACGGGGAAATCCGCAATGTACAGCTGGACCCGGGACATAATCACATCCTCCAAGAACATGAGACCCTCCGCCGGCGAAACCACACAGAACATCCAAGGGTTTCATCCCCAAGATACATCAGAACATCCAGCAAAGACGAAGACCACTAGGGTACACTCCCCGAACCGACCTCGATCTTATTCCTCGGTCCGACTGTACCAATACCGCCAATCCCCCGATCGCTCCCGGGGCGCGCTCTGACAAAAAAATCGAAGCGAATCCCCCCGCGGCGACGACGGAGACCCTGGCCTGCCAGGAGGCCCAGCAAGAAGGAGAACGATGGCACGATAGTGCTGTAGCGGGGCGTACTGTCGAACCGGAGACAACAGAGCATCCTCCAAGAACATGAGACCCTCCGCCGGCGAAACCACACAGAACATCCAAGGGTACTACCCTCCCGAGGATTCGCGATAACATCCAACAAGCACGAAGACCACTGGGGCACCCTCCCCGAACCGACCTCGATCTCACATCTCGGCCCGACTGCAGCGGTGTAGTTTTCAAAATGCTGCAAAATATGCCCGCGACGTCGGACTTCGGGGCATACCCCTGGCTCCCCGGACATCTCAGAGAACATCCAAGGGTACCCTCCCCAAGGTTCACAATGACATCCAACAGACACGAAGACCACTAGGGCACCCTCCCCGAGCCGACATCGACCTCACATCTCGGTCCGACTGCAGCGGTGCAGCTTCCAAAGTGCTGCAAGATATGCCCGCGACGTCGGACTTCGGGGCATACCCATCGGTCGGAAGAAGCACGTAGAAACATGAAGTAGGAAGGCGTTGAAAATAGATTGGGTGGCCGCTCGCCCCCTAAAGAGGACGGAAGAGGTGAAGCCACTCGATCATGGAAGCAGGAAGGCGCGGAAAGCAGATTGGAATCTGGGAATCCAAAAAATACCTACTTTCAACGACCGACGGGTACCCCTGGGCTCCCCGGACCTCTCCCGGGGGGCGCCCCGACCAGGACCCCGCGGCGAACCCAGCCGCGGGGGGGGGGCGGCGCGGGGCCCCCGGAGGAGGCCCAGACGGGCGGGAAGCGATGCGGAGGCATGGGCGTCGGCATGGGCGTCGGCATGGTTCTTGACTACCTACCAGACCACCCCAACCCAACCCGAAGACCCGAATTTCGGGTTGGGGGGGGGTATGGGTTCCATACGTGTTTTTTCGATGTTCCGCGACCCCCCCCCCCAACTAGAAATGGAGGGTAAATCGAGACCTTCGGGTTGGGTTGGGGTGGTTTGGTGGGTGGAGAGTTCTGAGACGAAGCCAGGATGAGGGCAAACTCGGGCGAGGCTAAGTCCAGCATCCTCGAGATCCGGCGGCTCTGGAGGATGCCTCCGCCCGCCGCGGCCTCCTCGGAGCGTCCCGCGCAACGCTCTGAGAGAGCGTTCATGGAGCGCTCTGGCAACGATTTTTCTCGTCGCCCTGGCATCCAGAGAGGTGCCCTCGAAGGCTTTGGAAACGATTTCTCGTCGCTCTGGAAACGCTCCACTCCAGCGTTCTGGGGCGCTCTCAGAGCGCTCCAGCGTTCTGGAGCGCTCTGGAAACGATTTCTCGTCGCTCTGGAGACGATTTCTCGTCGCCCTGGCATCCAGAGAGGTGGTGGTGCGTGCCCTCGAACGCCTTGGGGCAGTCGCAGTCGTACTGGCACGTGAGGGGAGCGCCCGCGCCGCCTGGCGCGGATTCCGAAAACATGAACGTTTTCTGCCTCGGCGTTTCGTCTTTGGGCGGCGGGAACCTGTAGAATAACGGCGTCGGAACCAGCACAGAAACGGCAAAACGGAACCGGTAACAAAATCGGCCCTCGCGTTTCCAGGGCCCACGAGGGGTGCGAGGGCCCGCGCCGATCGGCGAAACAATGAGGACGAAAACGATCCTGAGCATTTTCTTGGGGTGGAGGGCTCAGGGAGAAATCCATGCGGGCATTTGCACCTCGAAAATCAATCCGTCTTGCGACTAACCTTTGGCAGATTCAAGCCTTGAAAATCAATCGAAACGGCATTTCAGATTTCACCCTTTGCCCTCCACCCAAAGAAAATGCTCGGCGATCACAACCCTGGTTCCAGAAAGGCGGATGTCTCACGCCAGCCTTCGGCGGGCGGGCGGGCGAGTTGCGCCGAAGGTGAGGCCCTTCCCAAATCTCCGACGTCATGATTTTGACATACTGGAAAGGGGCCCAGGTACACACGAATAGATAAACACAAATCCCAGGATCCCCCTATCTATTACGCTTTCTGGACTTTCATCTTCCCCTTCCACTCCCAATGTTTTTTCTGTACTTTCCTGGAAATCGACGTTGAAGTATGCCTGTGTGTGTGTGTGTCCCTTCTCCCCTTGAATAGCTAATGTCAACACCTA